CTATTTTTTCAAAGTTCAATTAATTATTGATGTTTTTTAAAAAACCCGAGAAAAGATGCCCAAAAATATCACAAACTTTAGGCACAATGTTGAAAAGAAGGATAACGCCTTTCTCTCACTTCTGAACAATGTTGTTTTCTGAGCTTGTAACAGTTGAAAAGCTCATTGAGACTAAAAGACCTACCGTTTTCAAACAGGCGAAACAAAAGGAACGCAAACAAAGTAAAAATGTTTATATTAAAAGGTGAAATGGTATAGGTTATACGTCCCTATCAATACTGTTGGTTTATTTAAAAGGTGAGACCTCCGAGTTTAACGTCTATCTCCGAAAGGACCGAGCCTAGTGGTAAATTCGTGTAAAGTGCCTTTCCCAAGGACACAACGTCGGACCGAGCTGAGGATCGAACCCCCGAACTCGCAATCTTAGGATTACGAGTCCGGTAGCCTAACCACTGGGCTAACGACGCCTCAAACAAAGTAGGAGAATTACAAAATATTACATTGCAAAGAACAGCTGATCACAGTTGAAGATTCGGAGTATAATATCGTAAGTGTTATAGGCGGGGACAATGCATAAAGCACTCTGGGCCAATTAGTACTGCATGACTTAATTAAATAATTGAAAGGGTCAGAAAAATAGAAGTCCATTTGTTTCAGTAAGCGTTTTACGGCACTTGCAACATAATAAGATCATATTAGGCCGAAGATTATAGGTGTTACAAGAGAGTAACAAACACAAATAAGAAGGAGGAGAGCTAAGGACAATGGATTTTTAATAAACAAAAAAAAAGAAGCAAACCACATCAGAACACCCGCCAAACGCCTGCAAATAAAGGTCTTACTTAAAGTCACATTTTACTAGAAATGAAAGAAAAAAATAAAGATAAAAGAAAGAAAAAAAAGAAAGAAAGAAAGAAAAGAGAGAGGAAAAAAAGAAAGAAAAGAGAGAGGAAAAAAAAAGAAAGAAAAGAGAGAGGAAAAAAAAAAAAGAAAAAATGGAAAGAGTTCATAGTACGACGAGACATGTCAGGGGAGACTGAACAATAATGACGTAACAGCTGAACGAAATAAGTGGGTGGCTTTACATCAGTTATGGTTTCTACAGATTTCCCAGACAGGTTGTACATCATGCGGAACACCAACTTCTTTTTTTTTTTTGTTGGAGAGGGAAGGGGGGGGGGTGTGTTACATTGTTTTCGAAACGAAATCAAGGTGACTTAACCCTTTGTTTTTCGACCCCTTCAATTCTTCTTCTAAAAATAGAAAGTCGCCAGTCTTCCCTTTGGCACGCAAAGTATGTGACATCAATTGCTTCTATTTGAAGTTTATTGGGTTTTTTAATCGATGTCTCCTGGTTGATGCTGTATCGCATTTGCGCTGGGTTGGCCGTCACAGGCAAGCAACGTTGTAGACGCCTACTTTTTAAATGATCTGAAGGGCGAGAAATAGGGCGTCGGTAGCCTAGTGGCATGGCTCTCGGACTCGCAACCGTAAGGTCGTGGGTTCGAATCCCGTCAGGGACCCGACATTGTGTCCTTGGGAAAGGCACTTTGCACAAATTTTCCTCACTTCACCCAGGTGGAAATGGGTACCCGGCTATAGACAGTGAACGATCTTGTCAGTTTGATAGTGTTTGAGCGCGTGAAATTCGCAGCTTGCACTGTATGCTTCTGCGGAAGTTGAGTATGTTTCTGAGTGTTCTCAGAGGGTCTGCTGGGTAATAATAGTTGTAAAGCGCATAGAGCATGCTCTTGAGCATGAATATGCACTATATAAATGCAATTATTATTATTATTATTATTATTATTATTATTATTATTATTATTATTATTATTATTATTATTATTATTATTATTATTATTATTATTATTATTATTATTATTATTATTATTATTATTATTATCATTATTATTATTATTAATATTGTTATTATTTTTATTATTATTATTATTATTATTATTATTATTATTATTATTATTATTATTATTATTATTATTATTATTATTATTATTATTATTATTATTATTATTATAGGGCAAATGACAGACGAAAACATACCAGGTGACCGGAAAAAAAGCTCGTCCAAAAGAACGCCGATAAAATCGTTATAAATGAAGGTACAAACACCAAAGTTTGCAGAAACGTGAAACATCTGTCAGGATTTATTATGTATAAAGAACAATAGAATATGACAACCACAAACAGAGTTACAAGATATCTTCCAGATACCCCCAATTTCGAGTAAATCACGCGCTGAGTGAAAATGACAATCACCCGTTGACACCGCTCGTGGAAAATCTCTTTTTCGCCCTCCGTGATCGCTTCTCTTAATTGGTCGCTTTTAAAGACAAGTGAGCTTCTCCAGATTTGGGGGGGGGGAGGGGTCCAGAAATCTTGACCTACGCCGAAAGCGGTGATCACCCTACCTATAAGGGAAGTTTGGTTTCATTAGTTATTTGTTTAGTTATAGAGAAAACTCTCCTTGTCTTTCAAAGAAACTGAACAAGGGGCAAAAACTTTACCTTCGATTTTCTCAAAACAGCATTTTTCCGGATAACCCCCTTGTGCTTTAAAGCGACCAATTAAGTATTGTATACTTTCAAGCATTTTCCTACACATTGTGTCCTTCACCAAACTCCCTCAAAGGTGAAAATTCAGTGGACTCAAGTGCAGGTCCTTTGGGGACACTCCGGTACCAAAGTGGTTGTTGGCCCAGCCCAGAACAGCTCTGTCGTCATGCGGAGCAACCCTACCTTGCTGAGACTGCTGGTTCTTTCTCCCTATACCACCAACAAATTACTCGTATAGTCCCCAGCTCCCCGAGAACTCTGATCAGATGATGAGGTACTGGTGAGAGTTCTCCGAATCACGGACCACCTTAACATTTTCAAGAGTGCCTTGTTTTTACAGACTGCCTACCGTGTGTTGATTTGGGCTTCGAATTCTAATTCTAATTTTTAAAAATCAAAACCTTTCAAAGCTTGCAGCCTATTACCAAATGGGCCTTTTGCCTGGACAGTTATGTTTGTTACAGGTACCCATCCCGTGTTCCGGAGCAAGTAATACACGGGTCGATTTGGGAGACCTTGTTTGCTAATACGTCTCAACTGAAAAATGCGCGTTTATACATGTACAGGGGTGAAGTGCTTTATCATCTTTTCGTTGTGCAACCATATTTTTTTAAAACATGATCCGAACGTACTTCTAGATTTCGGTCAATTTTGATGTCAATTGAGTCATAAACAAGAAGGTTATGAAAATTTCTTTGAAGGCACTTTTTCTGGTCAGCTGGTACTTTTCAATTATCACTGAAACGGGTAAAAGAAGACAGAAATTGTATCAGTTTCGTATTAAATTTTGTCTCATTTTCTACCCAATATTGATGTTAACGGATGCTGTGCTGCTTCACTCTAAAACGTCGAGAACTTTGCGGGATACATCCGCGACATCAGACTGTGACCAGAGTCTTAACTTAGATTCAGAATTAATAAATAGATAGTGAGGTGCAGTAGGGCTAAGGTATTGGCTCCACATCGCTCCACCAGTGGGCACTGTTGACGTTGGGTTCCCAGTCTTGGCAAAGTTGGTCCACATTTCCATCATCTGTTGAGATACCAGGATGTCGACAGCATCAGGAGGCCCAAAGCCTTTGTCGGTGAACCTTTTCTCTTGAACGTCAAAAACGTAAAATAACTCGTCCACGTGTATAGCTGACATCCATGGTGGACTTTTACTGAAGCTTGGTCGGTGACTGAACTCGTACAAGTAATGTTTCTTATCTGGGACATTGCGCACGACGTAATCCAGCTCCACGATTGTTGGACCCACAAAGGAAAAGTTGTCCCTGGCGTCTAGAGATGCTCTCCTTAAGACATCACTGCTGGACGTGTTTGTCAAAAACGTTGACGTCAATACTTTCAGAAGTTTTTCCTGGTCACGTTTAGTGAATTGTTGAAGCTGCTCGCCAATAACTTGTCTAGCCACCTTCTCTGAGAATTGAACAGGTGGGCTTTTAGAGAAAACGTTAGCAAATAATCCGATTTCATCACTATTAAAGCCCCTGATGGTATCTACGTGGCTGATTTTTCCTTTAGAGAGAAGAGTAGCTGGTGACTCTGGTAAGAAGCCAAACGTTGTTTCAACTCTAGGGGTCAAAGATGTTATTCCCACTTCCAATGCGTTAGAAATGGCAATGGATGCGTTTAGTAGCTTATTGGCATCGACCTGTTGTAGACATGACAAAAGCGCTTTTGGATTATTCAAGTCGTCACACTGAGCGACCTGGCTCGTCAGCCGGGCTATCATGCGAGACGACACTCGATTTCCTGGGTAGTCAATTGACCAAGGACACAGAGAAACCCCACTCTCCATAACCGCTCTCTGGAACAGACCATTAGCTAAGGGCGACAGAGTGAGGAGAGAGACAGCTCCTGCACCAGCACTTTCCCCAAAAATAGTCACCATGTTCGGGTCACCCCCAAAATAAGCAATGTTTTCTTTCACCCACTGTAGAGCAGCGATCATATCCAACATCCCATAGTTTCCTGGCAATGTGTTGTCTTCGGTTGACAAGAAGCCAAAAACATCCAGCCTGTAGTTCAAAGAAACCAGCACGACTCCTTTTGTCGCTAGAGAAGTGACATCAAATTGAGAACCGGACCCTATTACATACGCTCCACCATGTATCCACACCATCACAGGCAGTGGGGTCTGGGAATTCCTCTGTGTGGGTGAGAACACGTTCAAGAACAAACAGTCCTCACTTCGTTTTGGGGTAATCTTTTGAAAATTAAAAAGCGGAATATCTTTTT